TGTCCAATACTTGACGTCAGTGACTGACGTCAACCCTGAAGATGACAAATCGCCATGAAGTTCAACTCTAGTATCTCGCCAGATGATGATGGTTGCTCCAACTCATCAACTACTCCACTGTCTGGATCCAATTGCTCCGATACCAACTGTTATGAACCTGGTTGTTTGTTGTCAGAAGACCAACACTCTCTCACAGGATGGGAGTATCACACCGCACAGGGAGAGAGAAACACAATAGAAGACTTGGCCATTCGATATGACAGGAAACACTGAAAGTACAAAACTCCACATAATCCTCACAACCAGTCACAAAAGAAAGCCGAGTAGATCACATCCAGGAAACAAAGAAGTAATGATAGTCTGCACGCAGTATTCACACGGTTTATCAAACTCGAAGTCTCGAAATGTCATAATAACCCCAGTACCATAGTGCGCTGCTCAGATGAGCAGCGCTTCACTCCCCAACCCTGAGTGACCGCTATACTACCCCTGAGTCCCTGAAACATCAAGCGCCACCCATATACTGCCCCTAGAGGGAAGCGCCACCCTGAAACAGGCCTCTGAGGCCAAGTGCCTCTCAAAGGATGAAGAAAAAGACCAGCACCACAGTCTCTGATGATGATGAAGTGCCAGAGGACTTCCCGGGTGGAAGTCTGTAGCAGCGCCACCTCTCCTGACAAAGATGAGCTCCGAGGAAGATAGCTGCAGCTATGGCTGCAGCGCCACACACCCTGATACCCTACTCCTGAGGAGCGTTCAGCAGGGCACCAACTTCTCTTTCCTCCAGCAGACTTCAGATAGCCCGGACTCTGAACAGCCCCGCGTGCTGTCAGAGAACAGCGCAGGTCCCAGCTATGGCCGACACTTCGCAGGTCGGGCTATGTCTGTCTTCGCCAACGCTGAAGCTGTCACCACTCCAGTTCATGCGTTGCACAACAGCTACGTACATGGTACCAACTGCCAAAAGCCCTGAACCGATTCCAGAAATCTATTAATAGAACTACACTACCCTATCCTAGACCTAGACCGGACTGACTGGATGGACCGGTACCGTTTCAGTTTCGGCCTCTAGGGCCTCTCCCTACCCGGCTATAGGCTATAGGACCGTCTATTGGCATAGGCCATTAGGGCCTGTCCGTCCTAGGGGTACCCCGGGTCTGCTATTCGCAGTTAGGGTAGCTGTAGGAAATTCTAGTTAGTGCGGGCCTATATTTTCCCGAATTTGGAGATATGTCCCTCACGAATTTCCCTTACAGGCAGGTCTCTTGGTTAGCCCTTAGCCAAACAAAATTATAAATCTAGCCTACCTATGTTACAGCCTCGGGTTGACGGGTCACCGGCAGGGAAAAACGGCAAGTCATTGCAATTATATACTATGTGAGAATGTGTGATTATATACTATGTAATGCACTGTCTGACATTGTACTATGTGACGTTCTACGTGTGAGGATGTGTGATTATACTATGTGTGAGAATGTGTGATTATATACTATGTAATGTACTGTCTGGCATTGTACAATGTGACATACTATGTGTGAGAATGTGTGATAATGTACTATATAACGTACTGTGTCTGACAATGTACTATGTAACGTACTATGTGTGAGAATGTACTACTATGCAATGGTAGTTTGTTGGGATAGGCAGACAGTAAGCCTGTCAGACTGTACACAATTTCCAGACACATAGGTGCATTTTGTTTGGCCGGGCCGTGTCAGTTTCTGACGTCTTGAAACATGAGCGCAATAAGTGCGTTACCTCTAACCATGGCTACCATGCGGACATCCGGACGGGCGTCCAGTCAGTCTGGGGTCCGGTGTCTGGATACCGGGCGGTAGGAGGCCTGTCCGGTAGGGGCCGAAACCCCAAAATTGAAAAAAAAGGGTGGGCACCCTGGACCTGTTCCTTGGGTCCAGGGCGCCCCCCTAAAAATGTTTGGTGGATTTTTGGGGCCGGTATCGACCACACAGGGCGGCCGGACCGGCCCCTTTTTCAATTCCCTGACATCACATCCCAGGCATTCCCGAAGACCGTTGGCGGGTCTACGGGTTTTGTATCTCTCCCGCCCACAGCGCCTCGACATTTGCCGCCCGCCCCTTTTTGGATTCAGTCGGCTGCCGACACACACACACACATGCGCACAAGCGGAGACGGAGAGATCCCTCGTCATTGAGGGTCAGACCATCGACATCGGCTAGACGCGGCGGGGGGGGGGGGGGGGGGGGGGGGGGGGGGGGGAGGGGAGAGAGAGAGAGAGAGAGAGAGAGAGAGAGGAGAGAGAGATAGAGAGAGAGAGAGAGGGAGGCTGCAGGGTCCTCCATTGTGCTGCTCCAAGGCGGTCGTCTTCGAGTTGGCTCATCAGCGTGCTGGTTGTCAGCGAGCTCCTCCGTCAGATCAGTCCCCTCTCTCTCTCTCTCTCTCTTGCACGTGCGCGCTGTGACGACCTGCTGGCAACTCTCTCTCTCTCTCTCTCTCTCTCTCTCTCTCTCTCTTGCACGCGCACGCACGTGCACGCTGTGATGATCTGCTGGCAACTCTCTCTCTCTCTCTCTCTCTCTCTCTCTCTCTCTTTCTTTGTTTAGTTGTATCGTTCGTTTTGACGTGACTGTTCCATTCGGTGTTTCCGCTCCCCTGCTTGAGACTGAATCATCTGCTAGTAGAAAATGGAAAGACGCATCGGCATATCCTCCATTTGTCATTCCATTTCAATTAACTGGGCGGAGAGTGGTGGTTCAAACAACGATAAGGGGGAGGCTCGGAACAATGAGAGGGGGGAGGTTCCAAGCCAGGAGAGGTGGGGGAGGTTCAGAACAACGAGAGGGGGAAGCCCCGGAACAAGGGGAGGGAGGTTTGGAACAGGAAGGAGGCTTACGTTTCAAACTTCGAATCTTTTTTATTCTTTGTGAATGGAGATTGAATGGTTCATTATCGATCATTACGATTTATTTGCACATTTGGAACTTTGAAATCTTTGGAGCATGGGAGGGAGGTTCGTAACGACGGGAGGGAGGTTCGGAAGAAGGGGTAAGGAGGGTCGGAAGAAGAAGGGGAGGGAGGTTCGGAAGGAGGGAGGTTCGAAAGAACGGAGAGGGAGGTTCGAAACAGGGGAGGGGATCCGATCCATGTTCATGAACTTCTATCGGATTCTTTCACATGTTCCGAACCTCCCTCCCCCTAATCTCGAACCTCCCCCTTTCATCAACTTGCTTTGTGGTTATTCTTTTCAATGTTCTTATTTCGTCTTCGATTGTATGAGCGGAGACCCCAAAGAATCATGGTTTGTTTTTGGAACTTTTCATTCGTTTGCAAAATTTGGGACAAGAGTACCTAGTTGTTCACCTTTGGAACTTCGACTTCTTCGGAACTTTGGATATGTTCATTCGTTCACTTTCGGATTCTTGGTTCATTAAACTTCATTTTATGTGCATTCCTTTGCTTTCAGAATTGTGGTTCGTTTTCGTTCATTTGCGAACTTTCGAGCACATTATGTACTTCTTTATGTTTGGATGTTCAGATTATTCGGACTGTCGAGGAGGTCGGTTTTGATGACGAATGGGGTAGGTTCAGAAGAAGCGCGGGGAAGGTCAAGAAAAGGGAGCGAGGTTCGGAACTTTGAAAGGGGGAGGGAGGTTCGGAACAGGGTGGGGTAGGGGGGGGGG